AGAATTAGGCCACATATACATAAATCTTGGTCTATGAACAAAGCATAATATAAAAGTATGCATTTATTTTCAACCCAATCAATATTTTCTAACTAATCATAACAATTTTAAACCTGAAATTTTTGTATTACCTACCCGTATGCTCGTCCGCACATTCCATAATTTCCAGCTCCATAAGATCCACCAATCACTACAGTAATTTTAGGAACAGATGCACAGGACACTGCTGTAACCATTTTAGCACCGTTTTTAGCAATACCGCCGGATTCGGCATCTTTTCCAACCATAAAACCTGATAAATCGTTTAAAATTGTTAATAAACTTACTGATATTAGTAATAATTAAATTGTACCTTATGCATAATAAATGCATTATTTATTTTAACATACCAGTAATGTTTTGCAAAAATAGCAATGGAATATTTCGCTGACAACATAATTCAATAAAATGTGTACCCTGTAAAGAAATTGTATTATATACATTAATTTTTATTAAGAATATAACTATGATGCAAGTGTATACTTAAAGGGTACTGTCAGAGGCATAACTCTTACTCCAATTAAGAAAATATAATTTGTATTCAATAGGTATAGATAAAAAAAAAAATTTTCGCCCCCTCCCTTCCAACCACCACACCACCACAATGAACACAGGTCAAATATGCTCACTTTTTATGATGATGTATTCAAAACTTAACATAATTTTCATACCTTTAACGCTGATTCAGAAAATAACACACCATTGTTACCAATTATGCCAATAGGGTAACCACATAGTTTAGCAAATCCAGTTACCAACGTTTCTCCATAATTTTTTTTAAACTCAGAAAACACAGACCCATCTACTAGTCTCGAAATAACCTAATATAAAAAGTTAATAATAATGGAATTATAGAAAAAAATGTTTGAACAAAATACAAATGATAATTATTATTATTTATTACTTCTCTGACGTCATAGTTCTTTTTTAAATTGTCTCCAACAATTCCATATAATTCTTCCTCAGGATATAGAGGTGGCTCTGGCACGCCAAGATTATTTTTTATTTCTTGTTTGTTGTTATTATTATTTAAATTTGCAATAATCGTTTTGGTAATATGAAGTGCATGATAATCGTCATTAGCATAATGATCGGAAACTCCAGAAACACTATTATGAAACAATTTTTAATAGAATACATCATAAATAAAATTATAAAAATGATACAATATGTTAATTAATAATAGAACCAATAATTTAGGATTGATTCAATAACGTATTAGTGAATTATTATATTATTTTTGTGGCTTGGCGTGGCGCGTTGGCTGCTACCAGTCGCGAAATGCGACTGGGAGTAAGAAACGGCCACAACTACTAGATCCCGGATGGGTGACCACCCGGGTTTGTAGATGTTAAAAACCTTGCCACACATACACGTGTTTGCTACCTACTGTAACAACCCTAACAATCATAAAAACAACCTACCCCTACCAACCTTACCCCTACTTCAGTTCATAACCCCAATAACAGCTAATGGCCTTAGTCGCCGGGCTTAAGTTCAATGAAAAAAAAAATATATATATATTATTTTTACCTATAGACATCTATAAAAAAAATTCAAATGAATTCAGTTTATTCATCAATCCCTAAAACCACTAGAACAATATTTTATGTACTACAGGTGCACTTGGACTTAGGAGTACCACTTTTATACTATTAATTTTGTTTGTATTCAATATTCTTACGAGCAGTGAAGTTTAGCACCACCCAGATCTTCCGAAGACACTATTTCGCCAGTTGCTGCTTTCACTAAAGGAGGACCAGCTAGGAAAATTGTTCCAGTTTTTTTGACGATTACACTTTCATCAGCCATGGCAGGTAAATAAGCAGCGCCTGCCGTACAACTTCCCATCACTACAGCTATCTGAAAAATTCTTGTGATTATAAAACGATAAAATAATTCTATAATTTAAATATCTAACTTGTGTTATATTTTTTGAAGACATGATGGCTTCATTAAAAAATATTCTTCCGAAATGTTCTCTATCAGGAAAAATTTCAGCCTGTTTTTTTAAGTAACCACCACCAGAGTCCACCAAATAAATACAAGGTAAATTATTTTCACTGGCTATTTCCTGGGCTCTTAAATGTTTTTTTACTGTGATAGGAAAGTAAGACCCACCTTTAACTGTAGCGTCATTGGCGATGATCATGCATTCCTTTCTATCAACAAAGAATTTATTTATGAATCAAATTACTTTATATTTAAAAACATTGTACCTACCTGGAAATACGTCCAATTCCTGTAACTATTCCACCGCATGGAACCGTTTCTTTATAAAGATCATGTCCAGCCAATTGTGACAATTCTAAAAATGGCGAACCTGAATCTAAAAGATAATCTATACGATCACGTACTAGTACTTTTCCTTTCGACGTGTGCCTTAACTTATCTTTTGAATCACCACCAGAAACTGAATTGGCTACAGCTTTTTTCAAATTATGCACCAAAATTTCCATTGCTGTTCGATTTTCCTACAATCAAGAACCAAAATTAAAATTGCTGATCAAATGTATGCTACAATTGGAAATGTGGGATCCCTGCAGTGGTGGATCTGCAAGAAGGATATAGGGGCCAAACCCCCCCTCCCTAGACCAAATTGTGTACATAATACAACATGTATATAATACTATGAATACATGTGTATACTGAATATGTCTATTAAAATCTTTATATCGACCAGTGAAAAAATTCTAGATACGCTACTGAATCCCTGAGCATATAAAATTGCATGTTAAAGGTTTTTGAATTTAAGACAACTATAAGTATTATTATACAATAATTAAAACCATAGTATTCTCTTATGGATCTAGTATTCTAGTATGACTAAACATGGTTGAATGATTCTCATAACTTGTTTGCTCTTTAACTTTTGTGACACGGTCAAAAATTGTAAATACATGAATATATTGACCTGATATTCTTTTGAATTAACATCAATGTTGGATTCCAGTACAGATCCATTTGAGATGTCAGAGAAATGTGATAAACATTGACAACTACGGAAGATGACATATTTCCTCAGTATTTTAGTACTGCTCAACATTTTTTTTGAAATACCCTTGTAATTTATTTTTTATGAAATCTGTAAACCTGAAACAATTTGTAAATGACCATAAAATATATATTTTTTTTTATAGATAATACTATTATTAATTATTAGGTCAAAAGATACCTATAAAAAATATGTAAAACCTTTTCCCAACAGCACATAGTTAACGACTACACACTGTTATCTGTTTATAACTAAAATCAATAAAAACTCTGACGTTTTAAATTGAACAAAGTACACATGTAAGATAAGATAAAATGTTTAGAGTTCAATAGACCAACAATAAAAAATGTAGGTATGTAAGTAGATACAAGAACAATAATAAGTATAATTTAAAATATTTACATATTATTATTTATACATAATTAAAATAACATATGAAAAGAATAAAATGTTTAGTGGGTAGTATAATTTTATAGGTAATAAATTTTTACAAATAACCTACAAGCAAATTATTATTTATAACAACCTTATTGTCATATTGTGTACCTTATAGTGATGGGAAAATTTCCTCATTTACATTAATTATATTATTTATGTAGTACCTATTAATATTAACATGATTTTCCTTTTTAAGCAGTTCTTTGCAAAGAGAAAAACGATGCACATTAAAACTATACAATCGGTCCAGCCTTTACTGTGAGTTCTTTTCTATGAAACTACCATAACAGAACCTCAGAATATTGGTTTACCCTTCTAAAGAATATAATTATGGACAGAGCGATCTTAGTTCAGTGTAACAAATTGTTAGAACAATTTTAACTGATGACTTAAAATAAAAGTTTATGAATTTAATTTCTAAGACATATGAATCTGAAAATATTAAAAAAAGGTTGCTATTATACCAACAGTAATGTCGTAAAGGTTTTAGTTATAATGTGTGATATTAAATGGGGGTGACAGTTATTGGAGATTAAATACGTCTGGGTGTCCAAGGAAAGAACAATAATAAATTTAATATAAATATCCCAACCAAGATGTCATAAGACTCAAGAATGTAGATGTATACTGAACGTGAAGGTATTTCTAAAGGAATTGTCGAAAAAACTCATATATATTATACAGAGTTTATTAGGATTTGGTTTAGTTTAGAGTTCATTCCTAGAAAAATACAACTTAAATTAAATTTATATGTATATTATATATTGTATACATATTTGTAGTTCTGTGATGGTAGTATCTATTTATATTTTGGTAGATATAATATATTTTTTTTATGCTTAACACATTTTATAAAACAAGTTATTTTGAACAGTTATTAAATCATTTAAACAAGTACAATATTAATACAATAAATTAAGTATAATTTAAACCAACAATAGGTTAATATTTAACTCTTTATATAGGTATCGACCGAACACATAAGTCTATACAATTTAGTTGTAGGTATAGCCATGTAGGTAGTAATGGAATAAGTATATTATCATAATGTTTTATTTCTTACCAACTATTACTATAAATCTATAAAACTATATACAACGCACCACTGAGTACCGTGCAGGCATGGATCGTGACACACACAAAATACTGAATACTGAAACTACATGTATGGTGAATAAGTATCATGAACTACTATTAAATGATTTAAATGACTACTGCCACTACTGCTTGAAAAAATGTATATAGATAGGCATTTATGGCATTGATTATAGAATACATTATTTTATCCTACATTTATAATATTTTTTATGATTTTTTACACTAATTTATTTTAGGTAGTATTATTGTTTACTCAACATCAAATAATCTATAGCTTGATAGTCTATAGGTGTACTCATCACTCATCAGTCATAAGAAAAGAGAAATAAATTAAATTATTAACAAATTACAATTTTTGGGTGCTTGATTATAAAATATTTTAAATTAAGTTTCTGATTAGCTATCACAGTTGTATCTTATCAACTGTACAGTATCAGAACATGGATTTTGGCGCGTAATATTATCTTTGTAATAAGACATCCAACTACCAAATCCCAGTAATATTACTATTTATCAATTCCTAATTTTATAAAATACTTATTCAATCTTCAATATTTTTATTTTTACCCTAATTGTTCGGCATTCAAAAATCTGTATTGAATTCAGTGAATGATTTGGATTAATTGGCGCATTGAAACATAGCTGAAGGTTAGAAAAGAATGTAAGTATCAATTTAAGTTTAAACAAGAACTTACATATAGTTATAGACCTGTTAATTAATGTTAAGTCTTAGTTAATACCTAATAGGTCTATGGTATTAACTATTAGTGTCCAAGCAATATTAAAAGCACAATCGTCATAGATTTTATTTTGAACTTTTGCAATATGAATCTACGATTGAATGTACAATACACAACTACATGCATTTTCAGATTATTATTTCAAATAAAAGTATTTTAAGTATTGTACTATAGACAGGTCACGAAGGCTGAAATTTGTATTAAGTACGTCTAGTATGAACAGTTATGACATCATATAATAACAGCTCTACTTCTAAGCTTTAGTAATAAAACTAAGAATTTGCTATTATTTTATCATGAGTTATTATTAAGGACACAAAAATTCGATAGCTCGACGGGCAAGTGGGCAACTAATAACTATTAAATCGTATTTAATCGTGGTGTCTAATGCTTACACAATTTGACAGCTGCATTTTCTTTCCCAACTTCATATTACTGATAAGTGATAACAAATTTCCCTTATCAAGCAGATATCATTTTTTATTATTATTCAAAAAAACAATGTCAGTTTGATTCTAAATATGTTTAACCTTTCAATTTTCGCGTAATGTATTTGTCTGAACGGAGTTTTATCTAAAAACATTAAGAAGTATTAATCAACAATGGTAGCACTCGGTGCTTTTCCGGCAGCCAAGCTTGGCGCTTTATTATTGCGCCAAGTAAGTAAACCAATTGCTAATTTTGTTAAAGAACGAGCCAAACAATCTCCAGTATTTCGATCGTATGTTTGCATGCCACCTGCTCAGTTTTACAATTGGTGTGAAGTTAAAATGAAGATGTATTTCATGAACCTTGGTACCGCAGGAAAGGTCAAACCTTTAAGTGAAACTATGGCCATCGAACTAGGGTCAAATTTACTAGGTGAAGGTATTATATTTGTTGTCGCTGCTGCTTTACTTTTGTTTGAATATAATAGGCAAGTACGTAAAGAACAAGCCAAAGAAGACGTACGTTTACAAGAACAAGAAGATTTAATCAATTCAATAAGGGATTTGGATTTAATGACCGAACAACACACTGCTGAATTAAGACGTTTAACTTATCTGGTCGATGATTTAATATCTAAAGTTAACAGTAAATCGTACCCTGGACCTAATATTACCTCAGAGACACCTACAAGTAGAAGTAGCGGCAAAGTCGATACAAAATACCAGGAACCCGAACAGAAGAAACAAATTTCTAATGATATTAATGAAAATATATTATTTAAAAGCATTAAAATGTTAATCCAATCAATACAACAAGTTTGACTAAATCCGTACTTGTAGAATCATATTGTTCAAATGTTGTTAACACTTAATTAAAGAGACTTATAAGCTCATAATAAAGTTATATTTATATTAGCGACTATGTTTTAAGTTCATTTTTGGCCTAGTACTGTAAAATCTTAAATTATAAAAATGATTATGGTTGAAGGAAATATTCAAATGTTATATATTTATTTTTAAAATGCCATTTTAGATATAAATATTAATGAGAGCTTGTATTTGCAAAATAATGTTAACCTGCCTGATTAAAAAAATATTTTGATTGTGAATTAATACAAAAAGCATTTTTAGTTAAAATTGGAAAATGTACCTAATCATTTGTTACAAGTACTTTCATTAACTTTCATTTACCATTTGTTTCTGTAGATTAAAAAATAAAGTGTTCCTGTAGTGTTATAGATACAAATTAATCACATTGAATACATTATTTTATTCATAATTTAATATTTTTATCAAACAATGATACAATTTATAAATTATTAAAGGTAAATATAATTGTTTAATTAGTTCTTAATAATATTCTTTAAGAATACAAATTACAAGCAGAATTAAAATGTTGATGAGTACTTATCTTTTAAAACTTACCATAACCGAAACATCCTCAAATGTTTAATTTTCATACATGTGCTTTAAAACCTAAAAGTTGATATTACATGGCAAAAAAAAATAATTGAAAATTGTCCTTGTCAAATGCTACATACTTAAAATAATAATTAAATAACTTTAGTTTTTAACCTTAATTGGATCAATAATAATTCATACATTTTAATCATAGAAAATCCTATTATTAAAACTGGAGTAATATTTCGAAGACAAGATGTGTAAAAAAGTGTATTTAAATACCAACTACTTATGTATACCTATACCTTAAAAACATACAAATTGGGACAAATTAAAATTAATTAAGTATTTGGATATAATTTGTATAATTAAGATAGTAAAAAATTAAATATTTTTGAGTAATCATATTATTTACAATGTCACAAATTTATACAGCCCATTTAAGACATCGAGTCGCTTGGTGCGTACCTAAACAAGAAATACAACAATATCGTGCACCGCATGTTGTACATGTGTATGAACTCTTGAATCCACAAACTGCGCAAAATATTCTGCGTGGCAAGTTTGATGAGGGTGCTTCTATTGAATTATAGTTGGGTGGATCACGGTTGTTAAATTGATCAGCTTCGATCAACTGTTCAAATGTCCTTCGAAATCTAATTTAAAATGTAATAAAGTTTGTAAAATCACACTATTCATAATACATAGAATAGGATAATTAGATTATTACTTTTGTTTATAATATTCAGCACTTTTTTCCTTTTTACGCCTTACTCCTTTAGCCTCGATAGTATCTAAAAATTTAGGGGCTTTTTTATTCAAAACAATGTCAGCATGGGGATCTTGTTGATAGTTATCCATTTCTAAACTCTCTAGAGCCCTACGTGCTCTACGATTTCTGGTTGCTGTATCAAGGACCTTTTTTTTATCAGCATCTTTTAATCTTCCCGATTCCCTACCCATTCCTACTTTTGAAGACATTTTTAACTATTAGAAAAAAGTAATTTAAAAGCAAAATAGTTTTAATTTTGAGTGAAAGTAAGTTGGTCCATTAATTCATCAACACGATCTTCTAATGTATCCAATACATCAGTTGAAACAAATAAATGTTCTTCATCTAATTCTTGTAGAATAAACTTTTTTCCAAGAGCGTTAGTTTGATCCAATTGTAATAAAAACTGTTTCATTGACTGATCACTAAAAAAAAAAAACAAATGATGAATTTAATAATAAGTGTATTGTGCCATTGTGTTCTAGAATTTCAACAAAAATGTCTAAGAGAAAACAAGTCAGTGCAGAGGAAAAACGAACCAGGATGTTGGATTTATTTCATGAAAAAAAAGATTTTTACCAGCTCAAAGTAATACAGTACATTTTAACTATAGTTGATTACATACAATTTGTATTACCTAACAAAAAGTTTTATTGATTTTATAATATTGTCCCATGTATAATGATGGGAACTAACATTTATTTTTAATTATGGGGATTTTATTTTATTATTATTTTTGTATTTAAATATTTAACCATTTAGGAATTAGAAAAAATTGCGCCAAAAGAAAAACAAATAATAGTGCAATCAGTAAAAGATGTCATTCAAAATTTAGTGGATGATGGTTTAGTTGATACTGATAAAATAGGAACATCGGTATATTTTTGGTCTTTTCCAAGGTAACTACTTCTATTATTCAAGTATTTTCTAGTTGGGTACTTGCACATCAAATATTTTTAATATTTTCAAACTTTAGCAAAGCAAAAATGGCTAAGAAAAATGTATTAGATAATGCCAAAACAAAATTGGAAGAATATGAAAAAAAGCTCAACAAAAATTTAGAAATTATCAAAAAAGAAAAATTAGGAAAAGAGATAACAGATGAAAGACAAGCACTCTTGAACAAACTCAAGGCACTCAATGAAGAAAAATCATGTTTAGAAAGCGAACTAAAGAAATATGAAGATTCCAATCCAGTCGAGTATGAGCGAATGAAAAAAAGTATAGAGGTATGTAAAATAAATGGTCAATATCAGATTACCTTTATATGGTATATTTGATAGTTGAGAACATTTTTGATTTTGTATTCATTCATTATTACTCATTTTTTAGGTGGCCAAGGAAGCAGGAAACCGTTGGACGGACAATGTTTTTTCAGTTAAGTCATGGTGCAAGAAGAAGTTTTTCTTAGAAGACAGCGTCATCGACAAACAGTTTGGAATTCCAGAAGACTTGGACTATATAGAATAAACGATAATTTGCTCAGCAAACCATGCATACTACATTACTACTTACCATGTAATTAATGTTCCCTTGGAGACGTGAACCATGTTCTCACAATTTTTCAAAATATAATAAAACCTTAAAATGCCTATTAGTTTTTTTATCTTTCCTAGCTATTCAACCTCAATAGTGTTATACACACAACGATTAATAAAATAAAGACTTAATTAAGTCAATAAAATATTCTGGCTCAAGAAGGACAGATAGTAATTTATTATTGTAGAGTCTCAAGCTCTAGTCTCTAGTATGTGAGTAATTACTGAGTATGTCTAAAATAATAAATTATTTAACTATAAAGTTAAGTTAAGAGTTAACTGAAAATTGCACGTATCACCGGAACCGGGTACGAACCATAGACCTATGTAGTATGCATGGACTTCCGCACCTCCAGCCCTTTGAAAAAATAAAACAAGATCTGATAAGCAAAAGCGGGTATTCGGGAAGAAAAAATTAATATTTATTGTTTTTTCCATAAAAAATGTTTCCCGCCAATATAGTTAACTGTTAAATAGCTTATCAGCTTGTAATTTGAAAAATAAATTTCCCTGACTCGCACGACACTCCGCCACAATATTAGTATAAGAAGTCGTGAGCTAAAATTAGAAATAACAATCTCGTACCTATTTGGCTATTAAGTAGTTGATGGTGTGAAAAGATGATTAAATTGCTGTTTTTTAGTTCCTATAGAGCGTAGAGATAAAGATACTCTACTCGTCTACTCTGAGCACGAGAAGATGTGACTATTGTCTATTTCATTATATATTAACTGTCTTTTATATGCGGATTCAAATTGACTAGCTGTTGGATTGTTAACAGGTCTATGGAACGAACCATAGGGCATAGATTACATAACATTATTTTGCGCGTTCAGTTCTAATTTATAAAAAAAATAGCCATGAAATTCAAGTACCGCGTTATCGTTCAGTGATTGAATCTGAATGGTATGATGTTGGTCACGGAACGTATAAATGACGGTCCTCGGAATTTTATTCTTCTTACAACATATATATATACAACAATTGTTGTATATATCTAAGGTGAAATTATGAAAACCGTAATTTTAGAGAAAAAATACCTATTATGAAATATATAAAGGACAATATTTCAGAGACAACCTCATATGTGTTTTGTTCTATTTTAAATATACAGCTCGTTATAAACGGCACAAAAACCTATTTTTTTACTTTTTTTAATCAACTGTAACTATTTTAATAATTCATATTTAAAAAAACGCATATGTGGTTGTCTCCTAAATATTGTTCTCTATAAATTTCATAATAGGTATTTTTGCTCTAAAACCATTTGTTAATAGCGTTTTGTATGTTTTTCGTAGACCTGTTTTTACCACTTAATATTACGGGTATAACGTTCTCTTAATCGTTTTTGTTTATTGGTTTTACGGATTTTGGCAAATTTTGATGGCCAGCGAACAAATTCCAGTTTCTAATGTAGTCCTTCAAAAATATTAACTGAGGACCCCTGATTATAATCGGTCATCAACGTTCATGAATTTTATAAAATGAATGGATTACATAGGTACTATACGTCTATACGTGCATGTTTTGAGCGATAAGGTGCCGAAACGTTTAATCAAATCGCCTTATATTTAAGAGTTAATAGATAAATTCTAAAAAATGCAGTATTAAGACTACATTAAATTTATCAGTATCACCTGAAGGCTGAAACACAATTTCTAATACTTAATTACGGCGTCTGACGTACTCACCCACGTGTTGGATCATCAGAAAATACATCACAATTTCAGTTCTAAATATCACGAATTAAGAATTGAGATCTTAAAATAAAATCTCAAATTAATTAATTCGTGGTATTAATGATTCAATACTTCCAATTTCCATCATTTACGTATCGGCGATTTGCAGCATGAAAACCCAAAAAACTGTAAATAGGTTAAATTGTATAGACTTCTAAATTTTAGTAGGTCTAAGGTTCTCCCATGGAGATTTTAAAAGTGTTGATGGTTTAGGTAGCAAATTGGATCTAGTTGATGCTTTGAGCTCTTAGGGTAGGTATAATAGTCCAGAAAGACGAGAATTTAATTGTACAACAAGTTTTCGATAAAATAGTCTTGTTTTTTTGTCGTAATTCAAAAATAAATTCATTGCAGCTTATCTGTTTAAATATGATTTAAGTGATTAAAATTTATCTTGAGAAGGAGCTTTAAAACAAGTCAAGGTTGTTATTGACGGCAAAAAAAATATTTTAATATTCATCAAGTTAAAAATAAAATATATTTTTTTATAAAAATCAAAAAAATGGCAACGGCCGTATAGTGTTCCCAAGCGGTCACCCATCCAAGTGTACTTACTACGCCCGACGTTGCTTAACTTCAGTGATCGGACGAGAACTGGTGTATTCAACGTGGTATGGTCGTTGTCGGGGTTTAAGGGAAAATTACAGTTTTTAAATTAACTATAAATAAAATGTTCATATATTTTTTATGTGTTGTGACTTAAGGCCACTTTGAGCCTTTTTTTATTATTACTCATTCATAGCTGTACTTCTTTCTTTTGTTTCAAAATTTTGAATTTGAATTTGTTTTCATTTTTTTAAATCATACATTTTTCTGAGCCACATTCAACAATTATACAAATTCTAAATTCTCATGTTTAAGTCACGTTTGTTAAAATTATAAAATTACTGTTTGTCTATTCCTCAAAATATTGCTTTTTTCGACTTTTGTATGGTCGAGCATATTTTGTAGTTAAAAATGTATAAAATGCTGGATGCTCGATTTCTATAACTAAAGCTATATTATTATTATATTTTTACACATAATGACATCTGCCTATAAACTTAACTAACGATTTAATTAACATTCTTATGCTACTGCCAGTGCCGTATCCAGGGGGTGGACTTTTGGCCTTTGTGCTTAAGCCCCCCCCCCTGGAATCTCTGGTAAGATATTTTTTTTGTAATGCGTAATGGGTTCATATCATAGTAATAAGGTTGACGAGTGAACTAAGAGTGACTACTCTTTCCGACTGGAACTCCAAAACATCGAGAAAATTATGCAATACTCAATAATGACCATGTTTCTTAGTACAGACAATCATTATATTATCCATATTTAGATGATATTCTTGCATCATTTAATGAACGTTTTAAAATTAACTCTAATATTTTTGTTTCTTTATCTTCTTTATAACCAAGCAGAATTGGTAATTTATCATTTAGTGATATACAGCCAACTATTCATTTTTATGAAGAAGATTTAAGATCTAATAACCAAAACATTCACATGGACTTATTAAAAAATGAATTTGAATTTTGGAAACAAAAATGGTCTAATGAAGAAAATGACTTACCAAAATATGCATTAGACACATCAAAATGTCCCGAAGATTTATTCCCACGCATAAATATTTTACTAAAACTTCTTGCTATTTTGCCTAATTGCCTGTATCAGGCAGTGCGGCCTATCAACACAAGAATCTCTGTAAATAAGATGGTTACACACACCATTAACACATGATGAATTGATGAGTAATAAGTACTTAGGTGTCTAGATGTATCATGTATGTAGTGCGTTCTAATAGATTTTCTTCGTTTCAGTGGAGTAGCTTGAATGGTCGGAATATTTTCTATTTGATATCGGAACAGTGTTTTTGTTTAATAAATTTAGTCACTAATGTAATTTTTAAGCACCTAATTAAAATTAGTTACGTTTTATCACCTTGTTTAATTTTAATGATCATTGATGTGTAAAGATTTCATATAAATTTAGTCATGGCACATGTAGTGTTAGGGGGTGGAAGGAGAGGGAGGGCGAAGCCTTGGATGTACTAGCTTTTTTAACTCTGTTAAATGCATGACATATAATTTATAAAACAACTAGATAATAGCTGATTGTTACATTCTCACAGGAACGTTGAAGTAGCGCGGGCGTGCGGCCATATGTCCACTGCCAATGTTTACAAAATAACTCAATAGATCCTAACCTACCTATACATATTTATATGATATATGTATTACAAATGTCAAATACATGTATAATATATCAATCATTCAATTTTGCATTATTGGTATATGGCTGCCAATTACAATATTATCCTGTAGTCTGCTATCTAGTTGTTTTATATGTCTATGGTTAAATGTAGGTTGTTTTTTAAGAAAGGACGATAGTGCATAGTTATTAATTTCCAACAATTTTTTTTTGATAAATTGAATACTTTCATGTCTTATAAGCAATTTTGATTTAAAATATATATATACATTAATCTTAATTTATAATTTGTTTAAATTAATAAGGTATTAAATACAATTACATATTATATTGTATTATAACATTTTGTGCAAGTAAATAAAAAAATAGATTTTTACAATTCCTACAAAAGTATCTAAGTTTCCTGTTATAACCTGTAGTACCTATATATTACTATGGTATATATAGGTACGGGTAAGTCCTGTATTAGTGGTATTATTATATTGCCATATTACCTTCTGGCTTCTACCTCATTAGTTATTCTGAACTTAGTATACCAAATAGCTTTACTTTTATATGAATAATTTTATATTTTTATAGTTGTTATACACACACATAATATAAAATTATAAACTCACAATACCTATAAAATTAAAAAGTTGAATTTTAACATTACTATAACACGCGATAAACTCATGACTGATGACTGTATATAGTTTTTAAATTGTGAGTCATCCAACGACCAACAACCCTATTGTATATATTATGTATATTGTATATAGGTATATAATATATTATATAATATGTTTACCCCCAAATTACCTTGCGAGTTGCGACAGTACGCAGTGTATAGTATGAATGTATGATTGTTTACCTAATGCGTATTGAAGTAAAACCGATGTATATGTGTACGGTATGATATTGTGACTCATACGCTAATATTTATAAGTAGCAAGTACCATAGACAAATAAATATTTATTAGGTTGTATTGAGTATTCGGTACTATTAGGTAGGTACAAGGGTGGTACACTTTATTATTAGGTACATAATAATTGAAATAGTTTATCGAAGAGCTCCTCCGAATGTACTAATATAGTTAAGTCATATTTGTTGTCTCCATATTATAAGTAACGCATAACATTGAACATTTTAAGTTTAAAAGAATCGATTTTACATCAAA